GGAGCCCAGCCTATACCTTGCATATGTGTAAAAACACAGACATGAATGCAACATCACAGCCAAAAAAAACAAGCTTGGCGCAAAAGCTTCCCCATATGGGCGGAAACTGTCTACCTTCCTAGCGTCAGTCCAAAAATCCGGTAGAACCAGAATCACCATCACACAGAGATAAAACACCAGATTAGAAACATTCAAACAAAAACTATAAGCAAAATGTTTTTATTATCTGATAAACATACAACCTGTTGGTGTCAAAGTTCCACGTTTACACTTACAAGGGGGAGTAAAAAAGAAGGTTTAATGGCGCAGCTGTCACACCATAAAAAAACGGCAGAGCTGGTAAAGCGGCAGGTCTATAAAGTGCAGATTTAAGACCGTGGTAAGTATGATCTCGCAAGAATATTTCCAGTACTTGGCGCTGAGCGGAGCGGGTTTAAATGTAGAAGAAAGAGGTATATAAGCAGTTTTATGGCGAGAGCAGATTACCCACAGGGTTGTTTAGTTTTCCTGAGAACACAAGTGCTGATTTCTAAGAGTTTCCATCTTTGTGCTGTCTTGGCGGCTTTACATGCTGAGCGCTAATAAAAAAAGAAAAAGAGCGGCGTTTTATTGGGCTAGGCCCGCTTTCTCCCGCCGATTGTGTGCCGGATGGAATGTGAGAACTAGAACTAAATAAATACTCATGCTGTGTCTTTAAAGAGAACTTGTCACCCAGTGTAAACCTCTAAAGAACTTCAGGAAAATCACAAACTGACCCTTGCAGTGAGGCTACCACCACACTACAAGGGTAGGTACTCATTTTGTTAAGGGGGTACAAATAAAGCAAATATACTCGCCTGATCCGCTGGCTCACTCCATGCAGCTACACTGCCCCGCGCAGCCTCTTTTCCCCAGGCACCGACGGTCTAAGGATCACTGACTTCATCGCATCTGATGCAGGTGCATTTACCTACATTATACATGGGGACACGGAGGGACATTCTATAACCGGAGCTGAGCGGATGGGGGCGAGTGCCGACCGCTGCAGTAAAAACAAAGCGTCCACTATTTACATCCATGACCAAGAATAGCTTCTTCTGTGTGCCCCTCTGATTGTGGGTTCACTTACGAAGGTCTCAACTTTCACTCTGCTGAAGGGCCAGACCTTTGTTTTGTAAATATATCCACCAAGGAAGATAATCTGCCCTGCTGAGCTGCCAATGACTGGACATAAGTGAAGCTACAATCAAAACATGCCCTGCTGGAGGGACTGGAGGACGGGTCTGGAAACATTACTCTGGGGTCACGTCTCCCAGCAGCTCATGTTATTGACACTTCCCTGTGTGACCACATCTGCTGCAATTACTCAACTAGTGAAGTGGATTAAATCACCTGAGCAAGACTGAAAGGAAGCACTCAGGATTAAAAGTACAGGCAATGTATCACCCAACCAGGTACAGTGTATGTAATATAGAGATACATAGATCAATTATCTGCATACAGTACAGAGAATGTAATACAAAGCTATAGAGATCTATAACCTCCCTGAGTACAGTACGGGGTATGTAATACAGGGATATAGGGAACTATAACCTCCCTGGGTACAGTACAGGGTATGTAATACAGGGATATAGGGAACTATAACCTCCCTGGGTACAGTACAGGGTATGTAATACAGGGATATAGAGATCTGGGTACAGTACAGGGTATGTAATACAGGGATATAGAGATTTATAACGTCCCTGGGTATAATACAAGGTAGGTAATACAGGGAAATAAAGATGTATAACCTCCCCGGGTATAATACAGGGTATGTAATACAGGGATACCATTCCACCCAAATCATAATGCTTTACTCCAAGCAAAGAGCTAAATACAAGGTTAAACACATATACAGGAACAGTTTAGTCTGTGGAAGGCTTTGCTTACTTATTAAAAAAAACAAAGTAGCACAATTAGACAAAAATCCCTAATTTAACCTCTTTATATATAGGACGCATTCATGAGGCAGCATGGCGGGTGCGCCTTAACGCTGGACTGCTACATGCATGCTGTTGTATGCAGAGTATGTTCCCACCACACTGACCAAGCTGGCTGGATGGGCTCCTGATCATGTGACTGCTGTGAAAGCCAATCAGAGCAGTCACATGAACAGGACTCAACCTTTGAACGCTGAAACCGAGTTAAAGGACAGAGCGAAAGCAAAGGGTTAACAATGTCAGTGTGTTTCAGTCAGGACAGATTTGCAGAGGTCTGATACATATTTGACACTGACAGTAGGACCGATGTTTACTCTACACAGACACACAATGAAGATGTGGTCAGAGGTTTACTCTGCTGGAGAGAGGAATTGACTCATAGTAACGGCCGATGTTGATGGGCTTTTGAATGGCCAAGAACTGCTGCTTTCCCCGTACAAAGACAATGGGAATACAACAGGAAGTTGGTGCAGCTTTGAAGGTCAGAAGAAGGTTAACTGTACCTGCCAATGAACTGAGTGATCTCAGAAGTTTCCCAAACTGAAGTCAAATGCAAGTGAGGTTCACCTGGAAGATGCATTTACCCATCAACACAAGTCCTTTATCTGTCTCAGGGCTTCAGTTTAGAATTACTGGGCTGTGTGATATAGAATACAAGCCTCCCCCCCCCCCCCCAACCAACCCTTTTTTTTCCACCCAGTCCTGAGATTTACACAACTTGACCAAACAGCACATCCAGCCTGGTGACCCGACCATTCTCGACTACAGTGAAGCTATACATTTAGGTCACCTGCTTGTCCCCCGGCCTGTAATTGGACAGTGACTAAGTGGCAACAAACTGATTTGCTGCTCTTCTCCCTGCTCTCTTCTCCTGTCAGCACACCTGACTGAGGACAAAGTACAGCCTCCTTCATTACCACTCTAAATACTGCTATAGAGGCTGCCCCAAGGTCATTGATATGTATATCGATCGATCGATAGATAGATATGTCAGACCAGAGGTGGAAAAATTAATATGGAATTTAGGAGACGCTCTGTCCAATTCAAGAGCCAGCTCCATTGATAACAACTAGAGAAATACTCCAAAGTTAGGTGCCAGCTGGAATTGTTAGGGAGTATTGGCGACCTGGCTCCTGGGATTTGTCCAGTCTGATGCTAAATACTGACAATATATTAAGAGCTGGACTCCAGGCAAGCTGCCGAATACACAGAAGAAATGCCTCTATGCAAGTTGTTTTACATTTCTGTGCATCCAGGTCAGTTATTTACCAGCGCTGCTTACTAGCACAGCCTAGAACACCCACTCTGCTCCTTCCTCCTATGAGCATGCTTCGTGCACCAGAGCACAGCCAACTGTCTCTTTATGCTTCTCCTTTCTCCTATAACCATGCTCCTTTTCAGCCCATGACTGGCTACTTGTGCTGTTTCTTTGTCTCACACTCAGAGCTCTGCCGTACAGGAACTGTAAGAGGCTGATACCAGGTCAGATTCAGGTACTTGTACTGCTTGCAATTAAAAATAATATTAATGATGTATTAATGATAAGAGAGCTGTGATAATTTGTGTCTATTATATCTGCCGGGGGTGCAGCTTAAAGATACAATGGGGGACCCTAGCAACTAACGACGTAGTTTGGCAGGAGCCGACTGCATCCGAGCAAGCAAGGACACTAGCTGGCAGGAGCTGCCTGCATCCTGGAAACGAAGAGCAGCAGTTGCCAAGAGCTGCCTGCATCCTAGCAACCTATGACACCAGTTGACAGGAGCCGCTTGCATCCTAGCAACCAAGAGCAGAAGTTGTCAAGAGCTGCCTGCATCCTAGCAACCTATGACACCAGTTGACAGGAGCCGCTTGCATCCTAGCAACCAAGAGCAGAAGTTGTCAAGAGCTGCCTGCATCCTAGCAACCTATGACACCAGTTGACAGGAGCCGCTTGCATCCTAGCAACTAATGACATAGGATTGCAGGAGACGCCTGCATCCTAGAAACTAAGAACACCAGTTGGCAGGAGCAGCCCGCATCCTAAAAACTAACAGCGTCCGTTGGCGGAAGCTGTATGCCTCCTAGCAACCAAGAACACGAGTTGACAGAAGCCCCCTACATCCAAGCAACCAAGGTTGCCAGTCGGTGGACGCTGTCTGCGTCCTAGCAACCAAGGACACCAGTTTGAAAGAATCGCCTGCATCCTAGCAACCAAAGACACAAGTCACCAGGAGCTACCTGTGTCCTAGCAACCAAAGATGCTAAGCAACAAGGGCCTATCGATAGTGTGTGATCAGCTGTGCAGGCACCTCCGACTACGCATTGTTGATAGTTACATGTCAGCAGCAGTCAATGGGGAACATTTACATTGTACACACATACAGACAGGATCATATGTAGGTTCTTACTGCAAGCAATATCCTACATAAAGTCATACGTCCCGTGTACATGGGACCTTTAATAATTTTTGTAACATAAAAACATAAGTGTTTATTATAAAGAGACCCTGTCAGGAGAGGAGACAACTCAGAAGGCCAGGTCCCTACATAGAGAGGTGTAGTACACTTCCCTCTCTTGCGGCCTGTGCCTCCTCTCCATTTCCCTCCATTTCACCTCTGCAGCCTCTGTCAGTGTCTTCAGCATTCTACACTTTCCGGAGTGTTCTATTCCTGTGTCCCCTGCTGAGTGCTGTGGTCCCATCCTCCAATCCTTACCTCCCTACAAGACTTATCAGTCACATGGAGGGTCAGAGGAAGGAACCAATGTCCAACGGGGTACACAGGTACCCGAGAGTCCCAGAAGTGTTGAATGCTGAAGAGAATGAAAGAAGCTGTAGCACTGGAATGGAGGGAAGGTAGAAGACACATTCCCTATTCCCAATAGGGAACTGGCCTTCTGATATGTTTACAGTCCTGACAGGGTCTCTTTAACATATGTCTGGATCTCAGTTTTAAGCTGCGTCAGCAGTTGGACCTCTTGGAATGAATATATTATAGCGCAGTGACAGGGCTCGGTGACATTGTACACACACCCGTCGTAGCCAGCGCCCCCTTCTCCTACCTCTCATTCTGTGCCCGCTCTGCCCTCTCACTTCATGTACGCCGCCATCTTCCTTCTGACGTCACGCCGCCACTTCCGGCTACGTCGGAATGACGCCGCCGAACGGAGGAGAGCGAGAGGGAGTCACGTGGTGTGAGTCCTGTCTGGGCGAGGGAGTGAGGCATGCTGGGAGTCGTAGTGCGGCCAGCATTTCAGCGGAGACGTCTTCCCTGTGTTGTGCGGGTGGCAGGACGTATTGAGGTTTCTAGTGCACCAGCAGCTGCTGGACAAGCCTGATGGGAATACGAGGACCAGCATGACCTTTTTTTTTTATATTGCACATCGGCTCTTATGTGGGTGTCGGAAATAACTTCATGGGGGCGATTGGGACGGTGCAAGGACCAGGATGAGATGGTGCATGTCAGGAGAGTCTTTATGGGGGAGTACAAGGACCAGGATGAGATGGTGGATGTCAGGAGAGTCTTTATGGGGGGGTACAAGGACCAGGATGAGATGGTGGATGTCAGGAGAGTCCTATGGGGGAGCACAAGGACCAGGATGAGATGGTGGATGTCAGGAGAGTCCTATGGGGGAGCACAAGGACCAGGATATAGTGCTGGGTGTCTGGATATGCTGAGACTTGTGGTTCCAAAAAAAATAGGTGATGCTCAGGCCAATATAGAATAGTTGGCAGCTCTGTATACTCGGAGAAGGAGTGCTGTGCCTAATCCTGCTGGGGAATGCTGTGACTTGTAGTGTCACAATATCAAAGGACATGAATAATATGGTGTCAGACATGACTGGAATACAAGGACCAGCATGGGATGGTGGGTGTCAAGAATAATTTCACGGGGAAGTAGAAGAACTGAGATGGTACGGTGAGTGTCAGGACTGGCTGGATAAGTATGTACAGGCTGGATTAAGTAGTATGGCATGGAGAGTGTCAGAAGTGTCTTCACTGGGGAGTACAAGGATCAGGATGGGATGATGGGTGTCAGAAGTGACTTCACTGGGGAGTACAAGGATCAGGATGGGATGATGGGTGTCAAAAGTGTCTTCATTGGGGAGTACAGGGACCATGATGGGTGTCAGAAGTGACTTCATGGGGGGTACAAGAACCAGGATGGGATGATAGGTGTCATAAGTGACCTCATGGGGGGTACAAGGACCAGGATGGGATGATAGGTGTCATAAGTGACTTCATGGGGGGTACAAGGACCAGGATGGGATGACGGGTGTCAGAAGTGACTTAATGGGGGGTACAAGGACCAGGATGGGATGACGGGTGTCAGAAGTGACTTAATGGGGGGAACAAGGGCCAGGATGGGATGACGGGTGTCAGAAGTTACCAGGATGGGATGATAGGTGTCATAAGTGACTTCATGGGGGGTACAAGAACCAGGATGGGATGATAGGTGTCATAAGTGACTTCATGGGGGGTACAAGGACCAGGATGGGATGATAGGTGTCATAAGTGACTTCATGGGGGGTACAAGGACCAGGATGGGATGATAGGTGTCATAAGTGACTTCATGGGGGGTACAAGGACCAGGATGGGATGACGGGTGTCAGAAGTGACTTCATGGGGGGTACAAGGACCAGGATGGGATGACAGGTGTCAGAAGTGACTTAATGGGGGGTACAAGGACCAGGATGGGTGTCTTCATGGGGGGTACAAGGACCAGGATGGGATGACGGGTGTCAGAAGTGTCTTCATGGGGGTACAAGAACCAGGATGGGATGATGGTTGTCAGAAGTGTCTTCATGGGGGGTACAAGGACCAGGATGGGATGACGGGTGTCAGAAGTGTCTTCATGGGGGGTACAAGGATCAGGATGGGATGACGGGTGTCAGAAGTTACTTCACTGTGGCGAGTAGGGCTGCAACTAGCGATTATTTTCATAATTAATTATTTGGCCAATTATTTTTTTGGATTAATTAGATTTTTTTTAAATGAAACATAAATTCTGTGTTACAAAAATATAGTTTACTTCAGTGTAAAACTGCATGCACATTTTTTTTGCAATCGCATCAAAATGGAGCGCGGGGGATTGCGGCACCGCGCATTCCAATGCAGGCTATCACACTGTGGGCGGGAGGCATGTTTGGGGTACCATTGAAATGAATGGCCCCCACAACATCCCGCAGCAGATTTTGTGAGGCTGGAACTAAAATGACTACATGGCTGAGCTGAATCAACTAATCGGAATCAACGAATCGATAATGAGAATCATTGACAACAATTCTCCTTATAGATTAGTTGTTGCAGCCCTACTGGGGAGTACAAGGACCAGGATAGGCTGATGGGTGTCAGAATTGTCTTCATGGGGGGCTACAAGGACTAGATGGGATGGCGGGTGTCAGGATATCCTGAGACTTGCAGTTCCACAAACATAAGTGATTCCCCGGCCAATATTATTATAATACAGGATTTATATAGCGCCAACAGTTTGCGCAGCGCTTTACAATATAAGGAAGACATTACAATCACTATACGATTCAAGACAAGATGGTAAGGAGGGCCCTGCCCCTGAGGGCTTACAATCTAAAAGGGAAGGGCCAGTGATACATGAGGAGGGAGCTGTGTGGAGAGGATTGTTTGAGAAAGTGATAGTTCAGTGGTTAGGTTGAAGTGGGATAGGCTTCCGTGAAGAGATATAGTACAGTTGTCAGCCTTATATCTTTGGAGGAGGGGTACTAGGCCTTGTCCTGCCAGCAAAAGATGGGACTTGTAGTGTCACAACAGCAGACCGGTGGCTGGGTCAGCTACGGAGGTGCAGATCACTTTTCATGAACCATGTAAATTGTGGGTCCTAAGAAAACTTTTGGATTCACACCCTCCCAGTCCTGAGGAAATTGATGTTTTGCTTCACCAATGACGTTTTGCCATCAATTTGTGAATGGGTGGCTAATATACGCACCCGGAGCAATCGCCATGTTGTAATGAGAAAAGCTGCAGCCAAGCTCGGCTGCCATGCTGCAGGAAAAACTCATTTACAGGTTTTGGGAAATCACAGAGATTCCACCCAGAAATGAGCTTTACAATTTTTAAAAAAATATCCGATTTGCACAGCTTGGCCCTATTTACTAAGAAATATCTCAAGTTTTGTTCCTTTTTTCATCAATTGCAAAATATATAAGTACAGTATATAGTGTATATAATGATATAGTGCAGCTGGTGTTTGAAGGAGAAGGAAGCGGTGATATGTTAGCTCCCATGTTATACTGGGATATCGTCTTTATGGTGAACGCCTCCGGGGGTTTTCCTGCAGTCGCTCTCTGTAATGAACAAAACCCCATTTCGGATTAGCAATTAAACATAAATAAGCCATTTTATTTGTTCTGCGGCGCAATTTAGAGCATCATCCCCTCCCTCCGGCCCCGACTGAGCCTTGTATCAAAAGGAGGGGCAGACGCGTGACATCCTTATTTGCATAACGTAACCATTAAATGGGCCCTGCTTACCATAGGTAACACATTCATCTCTTTAATGCAAATTTTAATTTAGGTGAAAATGTAAAGAGTCTGGCATGTCTCATTAAATCGATAGATGATGTTACCGCTCATTAAACAGCCTGTTTTCTTACGTCAGGGGATTTGCACTGGGGAAGCGTAACAAAATAAAAGGTTTTAAACGAATCAGCTTGACTTGTCAGCCATTGAAAATGTAGGACACGAGACCAACAAGAGGAAATCATTCATAATGTATCCATCATATAAACGTATTGGAGGCAGACATTGCATAACCTGAACAATATTTATGATGATACAAAATATCCGATCAGTAGAGACCAGTGACATCACCGAGACCCTTTATATTCATGAGAACGCAGCCTATCCAATCACTAGAGACCAGTGACATCACCGAGACCCTTCATATTCATGAGAACGCAGCCAATCCCATCACTAGACACCAGTGACATCACCGAGACCCTTCATATTCATGAGAACACAGCCTATCCCATCGCTAGAGACCAGTGACAGCACCGAGACCCTTCATATGCATGAGAACGCAGCCTATACCATCACTAGAGACCAGTGACATCACCGAGACCCTTCATATTAATGAGAACGCAGCCTATCCCATCACTAGAGACCAGTGACACGTAGGCGGGGTAACCCTTTAAGTGTAATATAAAGCCATTGATGGTGCTGGCAGCCAGGTACAGATTATCACTTAGTTACATTAGAATATATAATCAGGATGTGATCCGATGTCTCTGTGACCGCAGTAAGAGGCTGTAAAGTGACCTTTAAAAGTCAGGGTCTCCTTATTAAAGCAGTTATGCTTTTTTGGATGTAAATTGGCTTGCCCGCACTATAAAACTTCATCCAGGCTAATGGCTACGCGGTAATTAGATGCAAAATCACTTGACATTTCTGGGGAAGTTCTTCCAAAAACGTCTGCGCTCATTAAATTTGAAGTTGTGAATTGAGAGAAGGTAAAAATATCCTTCTCCGTTTCATCCTGTGATGTGCTCATTGGAAGTGTAATGATCCTGTACAGGGGGACAGATGTTCATTAAAACACAGTATTTGAAAGTTGCTCCTCCTCCTGTATTCACATATCCTCCCCCGGCGCTGGACAGCTGAAGCTCCTCCCTCATTCTGAACATGGGGTCCCCATGGGGACGTTATATGAAAGGAGTCATAGCTGGAAAATGGATTTTTGCTTATGGCAGCCAAACCAGTTCCAGATCACGGCCAGGGACACATATTTATGTCTAGGTAGAGAACAAAGCATACTCGGCCCAAAAACCAAAGTCCATCCGGAGTGGAAATTTGTAGATGGGTGCTTTGCTTGAAGTGGACCCGTTAGCTTGTGTTACAGGTCTCCATTAATAGATTCCTGACGTCACAATATACAGCAACAGTATCGTTTTTCAGAAATGCTGCAACTTTTATCAATAAAAAGCCGCCCATGATCCCCAGTTCAGTGACTTTGGTCAGCTGCATGAAGGAGGAAGCATTTCCTCAGTCTCCTCTCCATCAGTGATCAGTCTGCAACATTGTACCTTTGTAGCAAGTCACAAGAAGAAAGGCTTCAGCAGGGGCTGATTTGTGTCGGACATTTGTGAGCACAGCCAAGAACTGCATAGACACCA